GGGCGGCATTGATTACTCATTGTGGTTTGTTAATGACTTTCCCTGAAATGTAAAATTACTCCATAATACATCCCAGTGTAATCTTCATTGCCTTACAAAAAAATGTTCCGTATGTTTAATGTAAACCATCACAGAGAATTCTTATTCTTGTATCTAGCATTAATGTTCAGAGGTTATTGCTTTCATGCAGCTACTTCTACCCTGTATAAAATGAAATTCACCAACTTCTATACATACTTACATTATTGTGAACAATATGTTCAACTAAGTTGGTATTAACTTTTCCTTAGACTATCCCCACAGCAGAAAAATAATTAGCACATGCTTAGAGAAGACTAAATTTTCTTACTTATGTATAAAAAGAAGAGCAGTAACAGAGTGATAGTCAACAAAAGACTCGGTGCTACAACCCACCTAAGAGGAATGGATGGAAAAATAAAGTAAGGAACCTATTCAGCGCCCACATTTGGACTCGGCGACCTCAGAAGCGGAAGCACCTGAAGGTCGGGCAGGGTCCTGCCTTCTGGGAGCTTCTGTGGGAGCTGCAGACCCTCTCTTGTTCCTGACTGAAAATGGGGCCGAATCCTCAGAAAAGGGGGTTTTATTCTCTGACGGGCCCACCTCGTCGGCGGCTCCGCGGGGCTCAGCGGAGGGCGGGCCGCGGCACGCAGTCGGGGCCCCTCCCCGGGCAGGAGCCAGGGCAGCTCCCTTCTCCTGCTTGCGCTGTCACCCGCGCAGGACGCACCGTTAGACCCGCAGACAGACACAGAGCCCTCCTCTGACTCAACGTCCCTCACTACAGGACCCGAATCCTCGGCACTGTTTCAATTCCATGCCTCCCGGCACCGCCCTGGTCCCCAAATCTGGTCCAGGGGAACCCACAAGGAAGCAGAACCAGCGTGACCGTGAGTAAGATCCTGGCATTAACCTCGGTATTTAAGCTTCTCCCCACTGTAATCTGGTTGCAGCAGAAGTGGCACGAAAGGCCCCAGGAAAACCAGCGGAGGCCACGTGACAAGTGAAGCTGTGGAGACGCTGTAGACAGCTGGTTATGGAAGGAGCAGGGCGTGGACTGGGGACTCCAAAGTAAGGTCCAGGTGTCCCCGCTTGTTAGAACCTGCCCGAGGGAGGGTTTTCCAGGGGAGATTCGGAGTCCAGCCCCTCCGCGGAGCGGGGAAAGGACCCTCTCCAAGGCAGCTTCCCCTCGAAGCTTCATGCCTCTCTTGGGACTGGGAGAAGATTTGCTACCTAAGACCTTGTCATATTTATTTGTACTCTGCTGCATTCTTGTACTGAACATAAGGGAGTCAAAACGTTATATTGGAAATCTCATATCAGTAAAGCACCAGTTGACAAACTAATTTGTTCATTACAGTGTGATTCCTGACTTGCTGAGGTTGTGACATGAACTTGGGAAAACAGCACAGTTAATCAAGTTTTGGGAACATGTCCACCTCTGCTCTAACTCTATGTATCCATGGTGAGAAGAAACACACTTTAAAATTTATTTATTTTTAAATTACTAGCATACCTGGGTGTTGTTTTTTTTTTAAGATTTTCTTTATTTATTTCAGGAAGAGAGGAAGGGAGGGCAAGAGGGAGAGAAACAGAGAGAAACATCAATGTGTGATTGCCTCTTATACTCCTACCAGGAACCTGGCCTGCAACCCAGGCATGTGCTTTCACTGAGAATCAAACTCTGCGACGCTTTGGTCCACAGACCGGTGGTCAATCTACTGAGCCACACTAGCCAGGGCAAAAATCACACATTTAGAAACACCAAAAATGGCTTCCGATCATATGAAAAGCCTGGTGTGTACTAGGCAATCCATAAATATTGGCTCCTATCTTCTTCAATTTTTGTTTTATGCTACAGGTGATGTGCAGAAAATCAGAAAATCTGAAAATTGACATATAGGTGAAAAAATTAGTAGCCAACTGATCCTGTGAACACAGTAGTTTAGGACATAGTTTTCTATGTTTATCACCATCTGACCATCAATTATAAAAAGTAAAAAATTAGAACAAAGACATTAAAAAATTAAATAGAAATCCTTATGGTACCAAACAAACTTTAGCCTAGGGAAATATATCATCTCAAAATGACATGTTTTTATTGCATTATCAGGGTGACATTCCTGTAACTTCAAAAAGTGATCAGAGCAAAAAATACACACACACAATACATAAATATACACAAAGGAAAGTGACATACGCAACATAGTCAGCTCTTAATTGCAATAAGTATGCTCTCAGATATTTATCTTAATCTGTCAGCACTGGGCATTTTCTGTAATCACAGCTCTCATTTCAACCTGCATTTATAACTCTTATGGTTATCGTGAGGTTCTCTAGAATTTGAAAGCAACTTCCATTTGAAAGTAGCATGAGTAAAAATCAACACACTGATCATTTAAACAACTCCCAAACTAAGTTACCTGAAAATTGGTTTTTAAATTGTTGGCTTTTCACAGATGTAGTAAATATCCAACTCAAGGATGAATGGATATTCAGAAAGTCATAGTAGGTGTATAATTGACGGAAATAATTATAAATTGTTACTAATTGTATTTATGGAGTAATTGTGTGTTAAAAGGTCCAAAGCTCAATGTTTTATTTTACATCTTAAAAAATGAGAAAATAAAGAGGAAGAATTTATTACAGCTTATTGAGCACAGCCTGAGGTATAGACACTTCAGTTGGTTGCCACCTAAGTTCTGACTATGAGAACTGGGATCTATTGAGGGGAATGTATTTCTACAGTTTTCAATAATACCCTTTGACATTATCAATTCCATTTTCTCTGACTCTGGGTTCCTTGAGCCATATCTTTATTTTTTAAATATTTCTCAGATTTTTTTTTATTCTCACTTGAGGACATGCTTATTGATTTTTAGGAAGGGGAAGGGAGGAACAGGAAGATAGGGAGAGAAACATCAACGTGAGAGAGAAACATCAATACGCTGCCTCCACATGCACCCTGACTGGGGATTGAACCTGCAGTCTAGGTATGTGCCCTGACCTGGAATTGAATCCACAACCTTTCCATTCACAGGATGATGTTCCAACCAACTGAGCCACCCAGACAGGGCTTCTCAGATTTTTGAAGAGAGACCTGGGGCACTTAAATGTAAGACTCAAAACCATAAAAATCTTAGAGGAAAACATGCAGTAAAATCTTGGCTATTTCTTCTAGCAATATTTTTGCTGATATATCTCTTCAAACAAGAGAAACAAAAGAAAAAAAATAAACAAACGGAACTCCATCAAACTGAAAAAGTTTTTGTACAGCAAGAGAAATCACCAACAAAACAAAAAGACAACCCACTGAATGGTGGAAGATATTCACCAATGATATATCTGATAAGGGGTTAATTTCCAAAATTTATAAAGAACTCACACCAAAAAACAAGCAATCCAATGAAAAAATGAGCAAAGGGTCTGAATAAACACTTGTCAAAAAAAACATACAGATGGCCCACAGACATATGAAAAGATGCTCAATGTCACTAACCATCAGAAAGATACAAATTAAAACCACAAGATGTTACCTCACGTCTGTCAAAATGGCCATGATCAATAAATGAACAAACAAATGCTGGCAAGGATGTGGAGAAAAGGGAACCATCGTGTACTGTTGGTGGGAATGCAGAGTGGTTCAGCCACTGTGGAAAACAGTATGGAGTTTCCTCAAAGAATTAAAAATGGAACTGCTTTATGACCCAGCAAATTCACTTCTGGGAATATATCCAAAGAAATCTGAAACATTAATTTGAAAGAACATAAGCACCCCTATATTCATCGTAGCATTATTTTACAGTCGCCAAGATATGAAAGCAGCCCAAGGTCCATCAGTAGACGAGTGGATAGAACAACTACGGGACATTTACACAGTGGAACACTACTTTGCTGTATAAAGAAGGAAATCTTACCCTTTCTGCCGGCATGGATGGACCTAGAGATTATTATACTCAGTGAATTAAGCCAGTCAGAGAAAGACAAATGCCATATGATTTCATTTATATGTATATAGAATCTAATGAAGAAAATATACTAATAAAATAGAAACAGACTCAGAGAACAGACTGAGAGCTGTCAGAGGGGAGGGAGGTTGGGGCTTGGGGGAGAAAGGTGAGGGGATTAACGTCCCCAGGTCCTCTCCCACACACCCCTTTTCCCCCTTGTCTCTCAGCTCTCTCACAGTTGTCTTGTGCTGCTTGGTGCTACCTCAAATCATCTTTGGATGAGTTGGTTCAAACATTACAAAATTTTGGTGGAAAAAATTTCAAGAACTTCAACAGGTGATTAAATCTTGCTCTATTAGAAATTATCATAACCCAAGAATAAACATTAGGTTTGAGTAATGCTCAAAACCTTTACATCTAGGACCATTTAAACATTTACTAATAATTTTCCTTCATTTAACCTCTAAGATATTTTAGGATTTTTTTCATAGTTTCTTGTTGGACTAAACATTTCCCTAACCTTTTTCCTTTGCTACTAAATTATTTCATCAAGGAATTTAGAGTTTCTTTAAACTCTCATTTCTCATTTCATTTGCCTCACAACTGGTGAGGTAGATTCATGTAACTGTAATATTTTCTGTATTAAAATTTTAGTCCACTTTGGAAGTTCTTTCTCATGGTATTAATTTTACTGTACTGTTTCTAGCTACCACAAGGTGATAAGAAGTCATGTATCTAAATACATAAGCCAGAGAAGTGTATTGGTATAATTTTATTACATTTAATTTCTTCTCTATATGGTATTCCTGGTTTTAGAAAATGAAGATAATTCACTCTTTTTTAAAGAAAGACTAAAAATTCTGATAATTTAGTTATCCCATTTCAACTTTAAAAGGTATGCTCTTCTGTGGAATTTCTGTGGAAATGTAAATCCTAACATTTTCCAGTGTTAGAATTTAAACAATTACTATTTATATATCAAACTTCTAACTGGGAAATTTTTCTGAGTTTTCCCTTCACCCGTCTGTCCACCCTTCACCTGGACCTCACCTGCAGCGCCCTATACAGGGCGTCCTTCACCTGAGCGTTCCTCAGGCTGTAGATGAGGGGGTTCAGCATTGGGTTAAAGAGGCTGTGAAACAGCAGCAGCATTTTTTCCTTCTCCTCTCGTTGACTGGAGTCTGGGACTGTGTAAACCACCATGGCTATGCCGAAGAAGAGCCCGACCACGCAGAGGTGGGAGGAGCAGGTGGAGAAAGCCTTCCTGCGGCCCTCCCCTGACTGAATCTTCAGGATGGCCCAGAGGATGCGCGTGTAGGAGACCAGCATTAAGCAGAGGGGCGCAACTAAGAAAAAGACAGAAGCAGCGAAGATGACCACTCTGTTGACCCAGGTGTCAGCACAGGCCAGCTTGAGGACAGACAGGATCTCACAGAAGAGGTGGTTTACTTCCCGGGGCCCACAGAACGGCAGCTTTAGAAGGAGAATCGCATGTACCAGAGCCAGGACAAATCCACACGACCAGGAAGTGATGGCCAGGACCGTGCACACACTCCAGTTCATGATGACAGTGTACTGCAGGGGGTGGCAGATGGCCACGTACCGATCATAGGACATCGCCACCAAAATCAGGCACTCTGTAGCAGCAAGACCCAAATACAAAAATGTCTGCATAATGCACGGGACAAAGGAGATGGTTCTATTTTGGTTCACTAAGTTTGCCAGCATCTTGGGGACACTGTTGGAAGCATAGGACATATCGATGACGGCCAGGTGTGAGAGGAAGAAGTACATGGGGGTGTGTAGCCTGCAGTCCAGGCAGATGAGTGCAAAGATCATGCCATTAGCCAACAGGCTGAAGATATAGAGCAGGAAGAAGACCCAGAAGAGGAGCACTTCCGTCTCTGCACTGCACTGGAATCCCAGCAGCACGAACTCCGTGACCCACGACTGGTTTCCCCCCATTCCTTAAAGAGAGCCGGTCAAGAACCGAAATGTGGTAAAGGTCAGAGCTGGAGAGGCAATACAAATTGGAGTTACTTCAAAATGCTCAGAGCTCAGAGAAATATTGTATTCTTGTTACTACTTGAAAGCTTCTTCTATTCCTCAAAATTGGTTACTTGTTTTTAACATCAATATAAAATAAATTTAAACTAACAGAAAAGGGTTGAGAATTATGCAAAGAACTCCAGTATACCCATATACCCAAATTCAACACATTTTAATATTTATTTCATATTTGCTTTATAATGCTCTTTTTCTCTATATTTTTATATATGAGTATTACTTTTTTCTGGACCACTTGAGATTAAAGTATAGATAGACATGATGCCCAGTTACCCCTAAATTCCTCATTTTTTCCACAAGAACAAAGATATTCACTGACCTAACCACAATATAATTATCAAAATCAGGCAATTTAATATTGACATGATTCTTTAATCTATAATATTCTCTCTGTACCCCCCCATTTAGGACCCAATCCAAAATTACATATTCTATTTAACATCATTTATCTTTAGTCTCCTTTCATCTGAAACAGTTACTCAGTCTGCCTTTGCTATTCATGACCGCTGAATTTTGGGAGAGTACAGAGAAATTCTTCAGCAGAATGTTCCCCAAATTGGGATTGTATGCAGTGCCTCATTTTTTATTCAGGTTATTCACTTTCTGCAGGAAAAATAAGCATCCTCCATTGTACTTCATGAGTAGTTGCATGAGGTTAGCTTGTTCCACTGCTGGTGATGCTCACTTGGATTGCCTGGTGAGGATGGCGCTTCCCAGATATCTCCATTATAAAATCATCATCTTTTTCCCTAATGTAATTTCTGGATCATCCATTAAAGTTACTATATAATATTCTGTTCCCTGTAAAGCTTTTCAGCCTCTAATTTCAGCACCTGTTGATTATCTTGCCTGACTCAAGTATTAGTAATGATTATTACAAAACGCGGTGCTCTTACTTCATCACTGTTGTCATATTTATTGGTTGTCAATTTTGATATAAGGAAAGGCTCTATCATCTCTCTACCTATCTATCAATAATCTATATATCTTTAAACATCTGTATCTATCATCTATCAGTACAGATTCATGAATTTTTTTTATCAAGGGATTATAATGATTTACCACTTATTCATGGTTAATTATTCTAGATATAAACCCTCCAAGCTTGCCCTTTTGTCCTTTTAACATGTTTCCTTAATTTTTGAGTATTTCCTTACTCTGACAGCTGCTTCGGACTTTTCTTATGCAACCCCCACTTCAGCCACGGACACAGACATTTCTCCGAAAAGGTCAGATTACTTCAAGGAAGAATCATATTCATAAACCAAAATCTTAATTTCAATAATATATACTTTTATCATGATTTTTGCCATATTTCTGATTCCCCTTTTAAAGGAGCAATAATATAATTTGGCAAGAAATACAAATTGTTACTGGGATAACACATTCTCATGTTTCTGAAAATTAAAAACAGCTTAATTGACTTCCCTTTTACAAAGTCAAATCTATTTCACTAAATTAACATTAGCATTGAAGAAAATGGCCTTGATATTATTTAGTAGTTTATTTTTAGGCAAAATATATATTTGTAACACCTTATTAATCATCTAGTTTATATTATTCTCTTGTTTTATTCCTATTTAGAAAACCACAGACTCGAACATTTTAAAGATTAAAGTTTAAGAGTGTGGTTCCCTGTGTGAATAAGGTGAGTCTTACCTTGTATGAGCATTTGACATCAAGTTTCAAGTGCTTCTTAGAAAAACGTTATGAAACTCTAAGACTAAAAAGGTAATACCCTAAAAAAAGACCACAAGTAAGCATTATTAATAATTTGAATATAGTTATACCATTTTACTGTACATTTACTTTCATATATATCATGAACTTAAATATGTATATCAAACAGTGTTGCTAGTTTACCTATTTCTTTCTTTTAGAAACATATCAGGAACTATTTCCCATGTCAAAATATTTTTATGCAACATGCTGTGAACAGATGCACACTATTGCCTTGAATATAAGTATTTTATTTATTATCTCTTTAGGTTTGTGCAATATAATGCTTCAGTGAGTAAATTTTATACATATGTAGTTTTGGTTTCCTCATGAACCCTAGTAGATTCTGAGATACGGACGGGCTTGATCAAATCGGTCACACGATTTCTGTGTCTGTGTGTATGTACCGCTCTATCTCCCGTCACCTCAAATCAAACAGCACCATCCCACCTGCAGGAAGACTGGGCTCTGTCAGAAACCGCCAAGACGGGAGGGTGTCTACCTCCGCAGTCCTGACGCCGCTGTTACCCCTGAGTTCTCCCCTCCTGTGCGGTTGCCCCGCTTGGAAGGCGCCAGGGGGCGCTGGTTCGCTCCTAACGCTCCGGTGAAGGCCCGCCGGTCATCACCTTCCTTCCGTTCGTTCTCATCGCAGGTGGGTGTTAAATGCGCCGCAAAGCTTAAGTACAACCTCACCTACAAAGTGTGCAGCTATTTGGTCACCAGGCTGAAAACTCCTCTTATTCTTATTCTACCCGCCACCTGAGCTATTTATTTATCCTCTTAGTTGAAGGGATTGACACATTTTATGTGACATTATTTCATTTCTAAACAACCTTCCCACCCTGGGTCCCATATGGTCCATGGGAAAGAAAGGATCCTAACACCAGTATTTGGATTTCCTTCTTAGACATCTTTACATCTACATTACTAACAACAAGAGATACAGATTTCTCATTAGCATCTGATCTAGTGTTTCTTCTCAATTCCAGTTTCTGGCTTGAGAGGAACCCCTGTTTTCTAGGTGAACAGCATCTGTAATTACGTGACTCTTCACATATATTAACAAGAGGAGGTTTCTGCCTATGCAGCAATTACAAGTTAAACGGTTACTTCAGTGCAGTGCACGTCACTTACCCACGCTGCATAAACATGGTGCCACCGTACGCACAGGCCTCAGAGTGAGGCTTCGGTGGAGCAGAGAGTGCACTCCCAAATATTATGACTTTCTTCCTTAACGTCATGGATATAATTTTAATTCACACATTTTTTTAATGTTTGTGAGTGTAGGATGAATTCAGTAATCCTACAACTGCTGAGAATTACTGCCTATCCCTTGGGCAGCCGTCAGGCCTCAGTAAATGAGAATTCTCAGGCCGGCGTATCCTCAGGGGGGAACTGCAAATGGGTCATTCAAATACACCCGTGTGGTGACGCACTGGGCCGACCACGGCCCTCACTGTCCCACCCCGATGGGTGTCGCAGGGCACCCACGCCCTCCTCGCCTGCAGCACTCTGTTGTAGGTCACAGCCAGTCACGACGGAGAGAGAGGGGGCAGCTGCCTGGTTGTCTCTAGGCCCCGTTCAAAGGCTGGCTGCCAGGCGGCCGAAAAGAGGGCCTCTTCTCCCCTTGGGAGTTAGACAAGGTTCTTGTGGGGAAGCTTTTCAGAAACCAAATAAATGGACAGGCTCAGCCAATAACAGCACCTACAATAGCTACATCCTCACTATGAAGATATGGATAAACTTCAGGACAATACCAAAGATAAGGAGAGATTCAGATCAAATGTCATTTACTTAAGCTGAGATTCCCTTTCACCAAAGAATTAACTCTGGGGGACAGGGGACATGTCTTATACATCTTTATGTCTCATGACAATTAGTATAGTCCCAGATGAAACAGGCCCTTGGAAATGTTTGTTAAATGGATGATTGTCATTTTTATTTCAAAAAATACGTATGCTAAGCATCTTCTATTTGTCAGTTTCTACTCACTAAGACATGGTTTCTATTTTATTAGAAAAGTACACAGAATTTGACCACTGGAAGAAACAGAGATAAAATCACAGATTTTCACTTTCAAAAATATCATTACTTTGAGAAGGTTCTATGTTAATGTGAATTAAGTTTATGACATTAGTTTTTGCTACAATTAAAGAATATTCCTGTATTATATGAAGTGAGAGATAGCAACATCAGTATTGCAAAAATCTACTTACGCACCATTGGAAGAAATATTTGAAACACATTCAATCTCTAAACATAAAGAATAATAATATTGTTGAATGTAACTCAAGCTATTACTACTCAGTAAGAACATTTGTTTGTTAACTTTTTAGTTTAGTATTTTTTGTGTCTGTGTAAATAGATTTTTTAAAAAAATTTCTCATTACCATTGTTACCATTTTGTTGTTAAAAATAAACAACATAAAATTAAAATTGAAGATAGATTAAAACTCGTACACAGATACATACTGGAATACAGAAGAGATTACTCGGGGGTCTGTTCTCTCTCTCTGTGGTTATTGTTATGGTTAGAATAGAAGACTAGCAGCGCAAATCACAAGAGGTTCGCAAGGTCGGCGTGAGCGGCTCTCCCCCTGGGCAGTCCTGTAACTCAGGGTTCCTTCCTCTCCGGAGCTCTGCTCTACTTCTCCAACGCTGGTCGAGAGTCTTGCACTCCTTCCATTCTACTGGATGATAGGAAAGATATTTACCAATCTGATTTCCAATCTGATAATCATCACCGTAAGCTGATCACCTGGGATGGTCAGGAAATGAAATGCTTACATGGCGAACTTACATCTTACTCGGTTTCAGCAAAGAAACGACTTACCGTCATTTCTCTCCACGGAGAGGACTTTCCCTAGACGTCACTCTCATTGTCCAGGCTAGGCAATAGAGACCTGCTCTAACCTGGCTCTTCAGAGCCTCACTCAGAGCCAGTGCCTGGCTTGTAAAGCCCTCGCTGAGATGCCGTGCTGACCCGGACCACCACCACGCAAGGACCTTGGGAGGCGAGGGTGGGAGATGCCAGGGGAGGTCAGGGCCCTGGCCCGCATCGCAGGAGGCAGTCGGTCCCTAAGACGGGGAAGGATGCAACCCAGGCACCGCTTAGGTCAACCGGCAATGCCCAGCGTGACTCAGGAGGAAAGGTCCCCCAGGAGAGCCAGTCTCGTCCA